CTACAGATTCAAATACGCTTTCAGGCTGAGCTGTTCTGTAGAGATTATGTCAAGTCTACAGGGCATTAAAACAAATGTTGTTTTCATGCACAGATTTTTAACTAAAGCTTCATCTTGAAGAACACTTGCTGGATGGGCAGAAGGCTCCACACCATCACCTTAACTACCTTAATAATACACATCTGATTTTTCTCCAAAATCACCTATCTCTAAAATAATTTCATTCTGTGATTCAACAAAAAAGCTGAATTTCCACCAGAGTTTCTGGAAATAATCTTCTCTGACCAGGCATTGATACTGAAACTACAAGTCTAATCCAAAATTATTTGACATGTCTGGAACAGGACTTGGACAGGATTTGAGCAAACACTGGAAAAAAGGATCCCCTTCCCAAACTGTGCTTATCACCACCTGAAGATATTTGTTTTCTACATTTTGCATGTGTCTGTACTTGCATCTGTTGTCTCTCTTCTTTACCCTACTATATATATATCAGATTATTTTCTGAAAGAAAAGTATAGCATTACAGCAACTTAGACTAAAAGGCATGTCAGGGAACAAGGATGAAGAAAAAATCTTCCTGATAATATAATTTATAGGAATCACACAGTTTCTATCACTTGATGTTCTGTACAGTAGAATAGATGAAACATACGGTCAGAAAAAGGAAGTAAGATTGTTTAAAAGACCTTTTTTATCTTTAATTTCTGTGATTCAATAATAAGACACTATCAAATTCATATATTATGTTGTATTACAACTTTGTATTAATATCACAATCTAAGGCTGATTGTTCCTCATTCACATATTCTTGCAAACGTGAAGCCAAGATCATATTTCTTATGTTAAATCCCCCTCTAACAATACAATCCTGTCAAGGCAATTTAGTTCAATACAGTCAGATCATAAAATCAATATTTCTTTTTTCATAAGCATACAAGTACATGATTAAAGGCATTTCAGTTATTTGAATTGGCTTTGCTATCACAGAAGACAGAATAATGGTTTTAAGTGTTTAAAGTGTTGCTGAGTCTTTACTAAATAAAACTGGAAGATGTTCACTTGTTGTAGAACTCTCCAATTTTTCAGACTGCAAGATATCCAAAGGAAAAAGTTCTGAATTGGAAACTTAGCTAGGATACTCAAATTATGACAACTTTGAAAAAAAAAAAAAAAAAAAAAAAAAAAAAAAAAAAAAAAAAAAAAAAAAACCACAACCAAAAAAACCCCAAAAAAAGAAACCACAAAAAACGCCCAAAAATTACCATACCATTATTTCTCCTATTTCAAATTCTTTTCTGTCCAACAACCCTTTTAGCCTACTTTCACTTAGACTATAAACAAAATACAAATACTCAGCAATGCACTGAAAAAATTTGGTTGAAATTCATTGTCAAAATCACCTGTAAATCATTCCTTCCTTGGGAAGATTCTCTCCACTCTGTAGCATCCTGCACCTGGAGAACTGTCCCACCATTATCAGAAAGTTTCTTATATAGAGTTGTGCAAGCAATACATATGATTTGATAAAGCACAGCTGTAGCTTATGAGCAAGTATCTACACAAATGTTACTGCTTGCAAAACAGTGTTGGAAATATGGGGATCTAGATGAAAATGAGCATCCAAAACACACTGATGTTCATATCTGTACAGTTTTCAAATCAGAACATAAGACATTTTTAAATAGCATGATAAAGCTCTGTACATCACTGAATTATACAGATTCATTAAAAATTTCTTTCCTATCTTTCTTTTCCCCCAATTTTTCAATAATATGTAGCTCTTTCCATATGCCAAATGCATTCTTTTCATGTGCTTCCTTTTCTTATGCTGTCCTGTGCATGCAAAAATGATACCACAGAAACCTTTCCTGAAGGATTTACCAAATCTAAAAATCTGGGATTTTGCAGGTTTGAAGTGCTGTTTTGCCTTCAGCTTTACTTTAGACATTGCTCATAATGATATTCCTAGAAACCTTTTGAAAAAGTGTAATCTGATCTGTCTTTCAATACCAAATGCTGTCTGCAAACTGGAATCTAGGTAGAAGACTAGATTTGAAACATACTTTATGAATTCTGATTGAAAATTTAATTAATATACAACATTTCAAGATGCAAAAATGTAAGTAAAGAACAGCTGAATACGAAAGAGTATCAGGGAAAGGAGAAGGCTTCACATACTAAGAGCTACATAATAGGTGAATGACAGCATTTCTGAGCTAGCATAAGAACAGAAAAAATCCACTGGCTCTCCACTACCATACATGAACAGATGACACATCCAGAGCATGTCCTCTGCGATGCTTCACATCTTTCTGTAAGCACTTACTGCTCCAAAGGCAAAGTTTATTATTTATTTAGGATAGTTTGGTTTCTTTAAAATACTGCTCATACTGTGGGTCTATACTGATACTAGCCCGTTAGCTAAACAAGGACAGCTCTTGTAGAATTGGGCATTCAGAGAACCACACTGGGAACTTTGATGCTGCCAACTACTTCAATGAACTCATTACAGCTGACTGACGAGAATCGATAATGAAATAAACTGCAAAGACCCTGATGCACAATACATTCCAGATGGTGCATTTTATTTCGCTCCTAAATGATCTTGAAATCTAAAGCACACAAAGGAAACCTGCTAAATCATCAAGAAATTCTTAAAATGTGCCAATGTTGAATGATTTCCACATTGCCTAATCTTAAGCCCTCTCTATTTACTTGCCTCACTGAAAGGCAAAACTCCCTGCTAATCCTACATGGGGACAGCTTGTGCAAAACCCACAACTTAAATGTCCTGAATCCCCCTCAGCAGAAGGATATCTCTCTCAATTACAATATTTATACAAAAGAAAAGAGCAAAGTAGGCATCTAACCTGAAACTAAATAATATGGTCTAAACACACTACCTTCCCCACTACTCACACACTCAGTCCTACCACTGTATTACCTACACGTATGACCAAAGTATTTGAGCTCCACAGGCAGTAAACTTGGCCATCCCTTTCAAAGGTGTAAAAAGGAATACACAGGCTTCAGTAATACACTTCAATATATTTAATTTAAAATTCTTTCATCATAGCTTCTTAAAATACCTTCCTGGTCTAAATTAAAGCTATGTTAGGAATCCAAACAATTCACATTTTTGAATTAGTGAATGATTTCACTAAGGATGATTTATCTAAAACAAGAACCCCTTTGGAAGCAGGTGCAAAGCAAAAACATTGTAAATATGTTACTCCTAAGATGACTACATCAAAAAACACTACATTTAAGTAACTTTTTTTGCCTCAACAGGTGATAAATATATCAGGAGGATTCCATGGGGAAACAGGCAAAGTGAGGTTATAAACAAGAAATCCAGGTAAAGTGATGTTGGTCTAATTAGGAGATATGGGAATCCTTCCAACCCTGAGTGCTTAACTCTTCCTGAAAACTGACATAAAACTTATGAAATCTATGCAGCAGACACTGCTAAATGTGCAAACGCTCTCATTATCCCTGTCAGTACTGTTAGCTGGATTGCTGTGTCACCATGAGTCAGTCAATTACGCAGTCACTTTCATGAAGGGTATTCATCCCAAATAATTATCTCTGCCTCATTTCCCAGAGTTTGTGGTCTTGCTGCTTTCTCATTTCATATTCCTTTTCAATGGATTCTGTGATTCTATTTATTCTCTCAGATAGCCTCCGTCTCCAAGGATTTCAATCTCAAAGTTTTTGGGAAACTCTGATACATCCCATACAGGAGTGCAAATCCATCCCTTTAATTCACATAATGCACGGAATCTGAGATTAAGTTATAACTACTGAAATTGGCAATTTTCTTTCAAGGATAAGCATGTTTTTTACTTACATACCTTCTTTTTAAATTTTATTTCCTAACATAATGTGGAACTGTATGACACTTTTTCTTTCAAAAAGAATTACTTAATTTTCCATATACGACAGAAGTGATATGTGATAAAGAGAGTAATCACAGGAGGATGTATAGTGATCTTTTCTGGCTGCTTTACTGCTTTCTTCCCTGGCATACTAATAGCCACTGATATGACCTTTACTGTGGTTATAAATTTACCAATCGCTGTCCATAAAAAAAAAAAAATCAATAGTTTTTGTATCTTTGCACTTCTATATTAAGATGAAAATGTTAAAAGACTATTAAAGACCCTCTGGTTTATTTTATTTTCCATATGAAACATTTACGATAACTATTCTTCACTTTTCAGGGAAAATGAGTGCCTGTATTTCTGGAGGAATGAATTGCCAAACTGAGTTTCATATGTTGTCTACAGACATGCCAGTCACAAAGTATGCCATCTTTAGAATGTTTTCTCTGAATAAAAAAAAAAATCACAACATTTGACATTCATTTTTTCTTATGAAAGAGCATATAACATGTTTTCTTGTACAAGAAACTCCATCTGGCACATTCTGGAGGTTTTTTAATTGAGTGTCCTCTCCATTTCATTTGCATTCCCTTTTACATGTGGCATATACCTTTTCTAATGCATTCCTAGCAGTCCAACAAAAATATTAAGTGTCTAAATGTGTCTTCCGAATCAGTCACTTCAGTGGATTCAAAAATTTAGCCACACCGGCTTAAAAAATGCAATGAGAATATATTGATTTCATTGTTGACAATGATCCATGGCAATCCAGTTCAGTGAATGAATGATTTAGATCTTCTGTTCAGGTTAAAAAGTGAGACAAATCCAATTCATGGTTTGATAAAGGCAGGCTGTTACACAGTACTTCCAAAATGGAGTTCTCCACCACTTAGCATAGGAGACTATACTAATGAGTTGAAAACAAAACAGATATAGTAAGTGCTTTTTCTGACAAAATCCACCTCTCTGCTTGAAATTCACTTAGAAAACAATTTTGGTAACATTTTTTTTCTGTTTACACAATGACATTAGATGAAGAAATTCTCCACTGAAATGTGCAAAGTCAAAGTAATTTTATAACAAGCATTTTAAAGGTAAAACTATTGTACTTACCAAGCCAACTTCTGTTTAAATATACTGACACAAACACTGGAGGGACCGTGAAGAAATCTACCACTGAGTTAACTTCTAGCCAAAACCATAGCTTGTCATTGGCTGCTATAAACTGGAAAGAAAATAAAAAAAAAAAAAAAAAAAAAAAAAAAAAAGAGAGACGAAGAGACGAAAGAATCAGATTATTCTCATGCTGATTGCAGGTATCTGTTCTAAAATATTAAACTCAAAAGTTATGATGTTTTAGGTCAGTCCAGAAAAAACATGTCTCACTGGAAGAAGTCTGTATTGTGAATTTCTTGAAAATAACACTGAGATTAAAATGAAAGGTCTAATTAAAGAGATAGATCATGTACATTGTAATAGCTGTGCTAAAAATACTTTTTCCACATTTATTGAAATGTATCAGTAATATTAGAAAAGTGTAGGCAATTATAAAGTATTTTGAAGTACATCACCTTTGTTCCAGCACACCAAGTATGCTGGTAGTAGTCTTATGCATTTGCTGTTCACAAATTTCTCAATATAGACTGGTTTACAGAGTCCCATCATTACATGACCCGAGGAGATCAGCAGGGTGACTCCTACAAGGCATAGTTTGGGACTGCAGCAGCACTTCAGGCATGGAACCACGGATGTGGTCATTTCTCTCTCCTGAATACAAAACCAGCCCAGGGAAACTGGCAAGATTAGATGCCAAGGGCATTGTAGTTAGACCTTGCCTATGTGCTTAAATAAGATGAAAATACCATTCACATTTTATTAATAATTAAAAAGTAATGAAAACATTTGCTTTATATAAACATTAAATGTAAATATACCAATAAAAGGGGGGGGAAAAAGAGTGTACCATGAAGATATTTAACAGAGCAGTTCTATCTAAGTCTTAAAATTTTGACTTACACATTTCAAAACAATGCTCATATTTTTTGCATGAAAGAAGACATTTTGTCCTTCTTTCAAAGAAAATACAATCTCTATTTCAAATAATCACCATATACAGCAGCTGCCTTCCCTCCCTGCCTCTTGCTACCAAAGATGCACTACTTACACGCAAGCCGAAGTAGAGTAGGAAGAACACATTGAAAGCCATGTCGATCTGTAATGTGAAATCTTTGTAGAAATTCTGGCAGGATTCTATTGGGCTATTTGAAAGACAAAGAAATCAGAATAAACTGTCAGTATGTGAGTTTCTACTCTGCTGAGAATTGTACACATTTCATTAAAGACCTTGATCCAGAAATCATGTTTCTGTTTTCCAGTCGATTAGAAGATACAAGCAAGCATTTCAAAGGAATTAATTCATTCATTCAGTTAGTCATTCATACAGTATTTATATTCACCTGTTCAGGTAATATTTGAGAATTAACATGCAGATACCTTTAGGAGAGGACAAGCAGGAGAATACCTCAGGATTGCTTAACCCCACATTAACCCTTAAAGAACTGACTTCTTTCTAAAGGAGACACACCTATGATACTTTAGGAAGATACTTAACCAGTACACAGGTACAGTGAAACATTACATGCTTTTAATTCATAAAACCTTTAACAAAAAATAGTTGCTTAGGAATACATTACCCATTAGCAACCTGGAGTACTTAGTCTTGTAAAATCCCTTGTTTATAAAAAGTTGATTGGATTTTTTTTCTCTTTCTCACATCTTTTTTTTTTTTTTTAATGGCCATTTAATGTACTTTGTGTACGGTACTATGAACTGAGTAGAAATGCAGCATAGCCCACTGGTAAAATTAAATAAAATAAATTGAAGAATTTGAAGCAGTACTCTAAGGGTTAATTTCTGCATGCAGGTTAATTAAAATACCCTTGTGTGTATCAGGCAGCCATTGCAAATTTTAGCTTCTTATTTTATGCTCTATTTGACAGTGGGACAGAACCAAAGCTTACTCTATACAAACTGGTACCTTATAAATATACTTTTATCTAAAGAAGGTGGTAACTTCCGTACGTATCATCAGTGATTTATTTGTGAGGTTTCTAAAACAGGTTGTTGAAGCCACAGTCCAATGTTGCAGTCATTGACCAAAGTGAAAGTCATGTTCCAATATATGTTGATGTATATACTATATATACATAATGTCCCACCATATATACATATATATACACACATATATTGCAAATGATCATGTGTTCATCACAACTGTAATAGAGACAAACTAGAACGTAGATCATTTGAACATTTGGAGCCCTAGAAAACATCCTTTTAGAAAAGCAGAAATTTGTTGGCTTTCTAGATCAAATAAATCACTGAACATTAATGTAATACCAGTTAGTATAGCAGTAGTTCTGCAAATATAATGCTAGACTGCTCAACAAGCAAGATTCTATGCGTTATGAATGTCAGGTACCTAACTTAAGTCATAAAGGAAATTACCTGGACTACCAGGTCATTATACATGCAGCCAAATTTTCCATTCCTTGTATACATTTCAGGTCAAACAAGTTAATTACAGCATGCTCTCTCCTGTCTCTAGATGCATGAATGTATACAGCAAAATTCTCCTTGATGTACAATTGCTTCATATTTTAAGAAGCTTCAGTGCTATAGGAAATCTTATTAAAATTGTTTTTCAAAGGCTATTTGAAAAGGCATTGAAGTTATGAGACACTTCTGTTGAAGTTCAAATAAAATTGATTTACAAGAGCAGGCAGAAGGGAAGAGAAGCCAAATGTTAACATAGAGGAGAGCAGACAATACCTCATATTTACAAACGCAGTTTTAGCTACAAAAACAGTGGATGTAATTTGAGAACCCAACTGGATAATTTTCTGTATGACACTAATGAGAACAAACGATTTTTCAAAATAAGGAAGGCCACACACTGAGACACAGTGCACCCTACCAACAGGAAGTACAATCAACTGTACAGAGGAACAGAATCAACAGCCCTGCACCAACCCTTAACTCCCGGTTAGGTTCCTGCAAAAGCTGGAGAAATTCACTGAAGCTAATGGAATTGCAGAGGTTTATAACCAGGATGGAGAGCAATTTTTAGTTAAGGTCAGCTAAGGTTGCAGCTAACAGCTCTACTTTTGTGTCACTGTCCTTCACAAAAACCTACAAGATCTGACAAATTACCTAATGCATAATACATCTTCATTTTTTTTGCAAAACACTTAGCACAATGGATGACAATTCTGATTTGTGACTTTTGTTCCCCTAATACCAAAACTGCTGTTTCTGCTAGTCATATCCTTTAAACTTCCTTCATTTCAGAAAGCATCCCTCTCTTTCAATGTTTAAGTTGTCCGTTTCAAAGACAAACACAGAATCCTTTTTTTTATTTCAAATGATGATTTTGTCAGAAGGGCATGACACTGAAGAAACTATTAATTTTTTCACAGATGGATAATAAAAGATTTTAAACATTCTAAATTAAACTTTCAGTTTGGATTTTTTATTTTTCTTCTCACCAGTAGCTGACATCTGAGCTGGCAGAAAAATATGGCCACCAATATTAATCATTACACAATTCAGCCTGCTGCAGAAAGGAAGCCAATTTGAAACTCAATTTTACACCAAGTAAATCAAATCCCAAAACCAGAAGTGCTGTAAGTATTTCTTAGTAGTGCACTAAGATCTCCAGGACCAGTAATAATACTAATGAAACTCCCTGGTTTATATTAAAATTACATGGCATATCCTATGGGATTTCACCCCATAAAAGGCAGCAAAAGTTTCACTTCTGAAAAAGATGACAGACTATTAGAAATGTTTTTATTCCCCTTCCATGTAAGCATGGTTTCTTACATTTATACCGCAAAAAGACAGGAGAAACTATGATAAAATCAATTAAATAGAATAGTAGCAATGAGAGGAAAGACTTCATATAGATAGATAAAAATTACAGCAATGATGGAACTCTATATGCAATGGGTACCTCCCCCTAAAAAAATGGCAAGATCAATACTCCAACAACTGACATGCACATCTGGTAAATGAGTCAGCTAGGGAAGGAACCCCATTAGAGATGTTTTTCTGAACAGAGAAGGACTGGTGACTGATGTGACAAAAGGAGGCTGTCTTGGGCACAGCAATCACAAAATAACAGATTTTGAATTCTGAAGAAATAATGAGGGGCGCCAGCAGGACTCCCAGAGGGCAGGCTTTGGCCTGTTTATGATGCTGGTTGAGAAAGACCCTTGGGATGCATTCCTGAAGGGCAAAGGAGTCCAGGAAGGCTGGACATGATTCAAGATGGAAATTATAAGTGCACTGAAGCAGGCCATCCCTATGTGTCAAAAGAGGAGCTGGCAGGGAAGACCATCAGCCTGGCTGAATAGAGAACTTTGGCTGGAATTCAGGAATAAATGTCTTTGGAAGAAGGGCCAGGCAACTCAGGAGGACTTCAAGAATGTTGTGAGGTTATGCAGGGAGAAAACTAGAAGGGCCAAAGCCCAGCTAGAACCAAATCTGGCATAAAAGACAATAAAAAACGTTTCTAGAAATGTATTAGCAACAGAAGGAGAGCTAAGTGGAATCTCCATATTTTATTGGATGGGAGGGAACACAATGACAAAGAATGAGAAGTCTAGGGTACTTAATACCTGGCTTTGCAGTCTTTAATAGTAAGAGCAGTTGTTCTCTGGGTACCCAGTGCCCTGAGCTGGAAGACAGATGGGGAGCAGAATGAAGCCCCCATAATCCAAGGGGCAATAGTCAGTAAAATATGACACCATTTAGACACAAATCAAGAGGGCTGCATGGAATCCACCCAAAGATACTGAAGGAAGTGGCAGAAGTGCTCACCAAGCTACTTTCCATCATTTATCAGCAGATCTGGTTAACTGGAGTGGTCTCACCTCACAGGAAGTTAGGAAATATGACACCCATTTAAAAGAAGAATCAGAAAGAGGATTTATGCAACTACAAGCCTGTCAGCCTGACCTTGGTGCTGGGAAAGGTCACTGGGTACAACATCTTGAGCCAGCACAGAGCACATGTAGGACACCACATGTAGCATCAGGTCCAGCATGTTTGCTTTTATGAAAGGCAGTGCTGCTTGACCAATCTGATCTCCTTTTATGACAAGGTGACTTGCTTGGTGGATGAGGAAAAGGCTGTGGAGACTACCTAGACTTCAGTCAAGCTTTTTACACCAATTCCCACAGCATCCCACAGTTTCTCTGCTGGAGAAACTGGCTGCTCATAGCTTGGACTAGATGGGTAAAAGACAAGCTGGATGGCTGAGCCCAAGGAGAGTAGCAAATATGTTGATCTTGTATCTATCTGGTCAAGTCAATCAAAATCAAGAATTGAGTGAGTCCTCAGTAAGCTCACAGATGACACCAAGCTGAGCAGGAGTGTTGACCTGCTAGAGGGTAGGAAGGCTCTGCAGAGGGATCTGAACAGGCGGGATCCATGGGCTGAGGCCAATTGTATGAGGTTCAACAAGGCCAAATGCCTTGTCCTGCACTTGGGTCACAACAACCTCACGCAGTGCTACAGGCTTGGAGAAGAGCAGTTGTGAAGTTGCTCATTGGAAAAGGACCTGAAGCTGCTGATCAGCAGCCAGCTCACCGTGAGCTAGCCTGTGGCAAAGTGGCTGAGGAGGCCAATAGCTTCCGGCCTTATAACAGGAATAGCATAGCCAGCAGGACCAGAGAAGCGGCCATCCTGTGTGCTCGGCCCTGGTGAGGCCACCCCTCGAGTGCTGTGTCCAGCCCTGGGCCTCGCACTCAAGACAGCGAGGGGCTGAGGCACGGCCACAGAAAGGGGAAGGCTCTGGAGCACAAGGGGGCTGGGGCTGTTCAGCCTGGAGAAAAGCAGGCTCAGCAAGGACCTTATCACTCTCTACCACTCCCTCAGGGCAGGCTGCAGCAAGGGGGGGGTTGACATCTTCTCCCAAATATAAGTAACAGAACAAGAGGAAATGGCCTCAAGTTGTGCCGGGTGAAGGTTAGATTGGATATTAGGGAACAATTTTTCACTGAAACATTGTCACACATTGAAAGAGGCTGCCTAGGGAAGTGGTTGAGTCACTATCCCTGGAGGTATTTAAAAGATGTATAGTTGTGGCACTTAGAGACATGGTTTAGTGGAGAACTTAAAGGTCATTTCTAAAATAAATGATTCTATGATTCTCTAATATTTGTAAGTAATTTGAAAGAGAATCTCTGATTAT